CTATCCCTCTTACTATTGGCAGCATGCATGTAGGCAAGTCCTTGGCGGACCTAGGCGCTAGCATAAACGTCATGCAATATAAGTTGTATAAAAAGCTAGACCTAGGTGAACTTAGTCCTACTAGGATGAGCATTCAGCTAGCTGATCGTTCCATTGTGCATCCTAGGGGGATCATAGAGGATCTGCTAGTTAATGTAGGTGCATTCACATATCCTGTTGATTTTGTTATTCTTGATATACATGAGGATATGGATATGCCTTTGATTCTAGGTAGACCATTTCTTGCCACCGCCAAGGCACTTATCGATGTGCATGATGGTAAACTGATCCTGCGTGCTGGGAATGAACAGACTACTTTTTCTGTGACTGAATTCGATCACTGTGCTATGATTGCTGTCACACCTGTGCACGCTATTTCTGATCAGGTACACGAGCCTGTCGTGTGCCCTTCTGCACCTCTTATTTTGCAGGACCCGCCTATCATTCCTTCGCTGCCACTCCATCCAGTCTCGCCTCCGAACAAAAAGATCAAGGGGGAGTGGCGGCCGAAGCAGCAGGTTGCTAAGCCTGCACGGAAGAAGGGTGGAGACCACTATGAGCCGGCCCCCCTCCTGCACCACGACCACCCTGGCCGTCCGGGTACTCACTCGCCTGCATCTTGCCGGATGGCCAGGTCGAGCTGACCGATGATGGTGGTCGCATCCGTCGGGTGCATGGCCACAACCTAAAGTTGTACCTCAAGGGCGACGTGGATCCGCTCTTGGAGGCACCTGTTCCTGCACCTCCCTGAGTATCCACCATGGGCGTCCAGCTAAATGACGGTAAAGAAGCGCTTGTGGGGAGGCAACCCCACCACGGTTTGCATTTCTACCTTTTGTTTTTTTTATTATTTATTTATTTCATTTTTGTCGGTTTTTGAGTCTTTGAGTCAGTCTGAAAAGTATTTCGTGCCTCGGGCGGTTCGTTTTAATGTGCGATTGGGTAAATTTCAGAGCCGGGGCACGAATGAGTCTTGGTGGTTTGAGACTGAAATTTTGAAAAAGGGCATTCCGGGCTCTGCAGTAAAAACACAGGCGCCAGGGGGCCAAAACACGGCCGTGTTTTCCCCTTGCCCGCCCGTGTTTTGCAATTTGGCCGCGACATAAAAAACACGGGCGCTGGGCTTCCAAAACACGGCCGTGTTTTGGCCTAAGCCCGCCCGTGTTTTTAAGGTGTTGGAATTCACTCTCGGCAGTAAAAACACGGGCGCGGAACAGGGCGAACACGGCCGTGTTCCAGCCCGCCCGTGTTTCGCTGCCCCCCCTATAAAATCGATTTTTCCGCTCCAAAACCCTCTAGCCTCATTTTTTTCAAAAATTCCCAGCCCCCTCTCGCCGGAAACTCGACCCCTTTACCTTCTCCTTTGATTTTCCGGCCATAACTCCCTCTCCCGACCTCCAAATCACAAACCGCGAACGCCCCCACGCTCCTGGCGTCGAGGAGCACATTCCCCAAAGATTTGGGATGGTTTGGCCGAGGTTGGGTCGCCGGCGGTGAGTTTTCCGGCGAGTCTCTGATGTGTTTTCTGGCGACTTTGGGTGCCTTTTTCCACTTTCTTCACCTCTCTCGTGGTCTCTCCTTGCGTCTCCAGGTGTGTTCTCCTCGCCTTTTCTTTTATTTCTGGAGAATCGATACCTAGAGTTAGGTGAAGAACTTCTGATTGTGGAATGGTTTGGGGATATTTGGGTTTGGGGGATGTTTGGGACGATTGCATGTTGCATGGTATGCGTGCTGTGTGCTTGGTGTGTGATGCCTCGATTGGTGCCATTTAGTACAGTTTTGGTATGCTTGTTTCACCGGGGGCCTAGTCCACTGTCCGGATCGCTCGATTTGAGGGTCCCCGGTATATTTTGCTGTGAAATTCTAGTGTGATGGATATGCTTGTTTCGCCGGGAGTCTAGTCCACTGTCCATATCTTTCGATATGAGGGCTCCCGGTGTGGTTTTGGCCTAACATTGATCCCGTTTGCTTGTGTACCCTTTGTAATCCCTTGTGTTTTGCAGGATCATGGAGGTTTTTCTCGACCAGATGAGCAGCACCCAGCGACATATGCTGCGGAACCTCCGTAACCGCACCATCGCCGAGCACCTGCACCTCGATTGGGAGGTGTTCGAGGCGCTTCATGCCAGGACACAGATGGAGGTCGTGGTCCGCACCTATGGTTGGAGGCGTCTTCTCACCCTCGCCGAGCCGACCTACAAGGAGCTCGTCTGGGAGTTCTACGCCACCTTCCACCACAACTCGAAGGGGAACTCCGACCATGCTGATGCAGTTCAATTCACACTCGGTGGGGTGGCGCACTCCCTCAGTTACTGGGAGTTCGCCAATGCACTTGATCTCAATTCTCGGGAGGCCAGCGGGCCGACACTACGCTTGGACCTCTCTGACCCCACCGACTTCGCTTCCCAGGTGTACCTTCAGCGCATTTGCCTACCGAACAATGCGGATGAAGAGTACGTTGCCAGCCAGACGCGGGCTTCTCTCCTCCGTCCGGAGTGGCGGATCCTCAACCACTTGCTCTGCACTTCCTACACACCCAACAAAGGATCATCCAACCGGGTCACACTCCGGACACTCTGGTTCATGGATGCGATGGGTCATTCTGAGGACACCATCCAACTAGGCTCTGTGCTCGCCCGGACGTTCACTAAAGCCGCCAGCAGCACGACTCGCAGCCTTGTATGTGGCCCGGTGATCACTGCCTTGGCCCGCCACTACGGGATTGACTACACGGGGATGACGTTGGTCCGCGGGCCAACCCCGCTCAGCGAGGCTACTCTCCCAGCGAGGCTACTCTCCGACACCAGCACATGGTTGCTCGCCACGGGCGTGTGCACTGGATCGCGGGCCTTCCTCAGCCACCTCTACATGCAGCGGGCGACCAGCCCGAGTCGAGCGCCGCTGGTGGGCGCCGCGTTCCCCGTCGCGCTGTCCGTCGTGACCAGGCTCCCGCGAGCCCCTCTCCTGCTCCCTGGTCTCCTTATCCAGGGTCACCTCCTCCAGTGGTGGTGCCCATCTCCGACCAGTTGGCGGCGATCGCTTAGTAGAACGAGCGCCTCCTGGCCGGCCAGGAGCGCATCCACACCCGCCTTGATCGTGAGCGGGACCGCGGGCGTCGTCTCATTTCAGGGCAGCACTACATCATGTCCTACTTGGGCTTGGACCCGAATGCGGTCCACTACCCGTTCGTGCAGTCCCCAGGGTTTGAGGATGAGTACCCTCCACCCACCGGCGATGGTGGTGATGCCTTCTAGAGCTGGTTATGTGCTTTATTTGTGTTCCAGACTGAGACTCCATGTTTTGATGTTTCGTTTTGTTTTGTTTTGTTTTTTTTGGATTGTAGACTTGGTACTATGATTTCTATCATCCAGTGTGTGTGTTTTTGTTGTCTCTAGCTCTGTGCCTCCTTCTTTTGACTGGTCCGCCATCCAGTCAACGTTCCTGACCACTGTTTCACGGTACCATCGTTCCCCTTCCCTCTGCTCCATTGAGGACATTGTCACATTTAAGTGTGGGGGGGCTCTTTGTATGAATTGGAACATATATATGTGTGCTTGGAGCCTAGTCCATTGTCCAAATCTTGAGATTTGAGGGCTCCAAGCACGGCTGTTTGCTTGATGATTGATCGTATTGGCACTGTGGATGTGATTAGTGAATTGAATGGCTTTTGACTTGATGCTTGACAAGTTGAGTGTGACTTAGACAACTTATTGTGATGACTGAGATGTGCAGTAGAATTGTGTAGGGGTTCAGTTTTTCAACTGTTTGCTTACCAAATGTGACTTGGTTTGATCACTTGCTTTTGACAGTCATTTATGCATCTAGTTCAGGGAATCAGAACAAGAGATAGAGCATATAGGTAGCCATGTGAGATTTGAGCCTGCTCGTTTCTTTCTTGTGTGATAGTTTCCTCTTCCATGATGTGCAGCATTCACGTTGTAATTAGCTAAGATGATGGAGGCATAGGATTAGCCCACGACCAAATTGACTGTCCTGGTGTGTCATACCCCCTAGTCAGCCCCTTTGAGCCGTGTGTTTTCCTTTCTTTTGGTCTTCAATGAAAAGTCACCCTTTTGCATCTTTTAGAAGGTTTTACAGAGTGATTTTTACATGCTTTCTGCTGTTTCTGCTAAACGTGATGTGAGGGTTGGAGGTAGTGCTTAAAAGTTGGGCAGGTGTTTGAAAATGTGCAGAGGTGGTGGTTCTCTTAAGAAATGAAAAATAATGAAAGAAAAACAAAGAAAAAAATGAAAGCAAAAGAGAGCCACCACCAAAAATCTGAGTAATGCCCATTTAGTAGTGTTTCTTAGCAGTCTGGCTTAGAAATACTAGCATTTATGTAACCTCCTTCGCTCTTGTGCTCTGAAGAATTTGAGTAATGCAGAATAGCAGAAAGAAAGTTATTGGTTTGATTGACTGCTAGTTTGTTGGGTTTGGATATGTGGAACCTTGTGCTATGAATACTTCCACCACCTAAAAGGCCTTTTACCCATGTCCAAGACCCTAGCCAGTCATCTAAACTTGTGTCTAAGACCTCCAGATTAGTTAGTGGTGACACCCCATATGTGAACTCTAGCATTTAGAGGCTGCATTCATGGTGAAGAGATGTTAGGGATTGAGAGAATAAGCATGCGCATTTTTCGCATCAAATTGTCCTGACCCCACTGGTCGAGAGTGAGCGATTCATTTTCTCATATTATCTATACTCTTTATCCCGGTGAGGACCTAGATTGCTCGGTCTTAATTCTGATATCTTGAGCTTTGTGCATGAAGTGACTGTTTTGAATAAGTGGTCGAGTAAAGTCTATGTTGGTTGGTGAACAGAAGGGAGACTCTTCCTTTGCTCGATTTTACTGCATTCGAATGTCATCTGTGGTGGTTGTCTAGGTTGTCATTGAGGTTGTCCATGTGTTAATGATCGAAAGCCGGTATGATCCACGTGTTTTGTGCCGATATGATATCCCCTTAAGCATGCTTGATTGAAACGTTTTGAGCTTACCTTGTGTCTGACTTGGTTTGCTTGGGGACAAGCAAACGGTTAAGAGTGGGGGAATTTGATAACGATGTAATTGCACGTATTTGCACCCCTAGTTCTTATCCGTTTGAGGGGCATAGTCGTGTATTTTTGGCCTATTTTACGCCGGGTTGTGCTACTTTGTCATATTTCAGGTCCCAGGCGTCAAAGGAAAGGCTAAGCACGAGTTTCGGGGCATTCGGAAGTCATTCGGTCGAGCTGGAGCCAAAACACGGGCACACCTAAATTAGAACACGGCCGTGTTCCTAGGCCGTGCTTTTACTGCCGAGACTTGAATTGAGTTTGGCAAACACTGGCTGAAAACACGGGCGGGGTTGAGAGAAAACACGGCCGTTCCCACCAAAAGCACACCCGTGTTTTCACCAACAGGCTGGCCGTGTAATTAACCCTTGGCAAAACACGGGCGGGCTGAGGCAGAACACGGCCGTGCCCTCGACCGTGTTTTGCCCAGTGATGCCCTTTTCAGCAGATTTCAGCCAAAAGAGAAGGGGATTCAAGTTTTAGAGAGACAGAGTGATTCCTAGAGAGAGAAAGCGACGAACAAGAGTCTCCAAGTGCCCTAGCTTGATCTTCATCACCATTGGAGCGTGGCTTGAGCTTGGAGGAGTGCCAATCAACGTCCAGGAGCAGGAATCCATCCTTCACAGTATGAATTCCGCGTCTGATTCTGCTTTTGCTTCTTTCTCCAAGGAGTAGTTCTCCCATTCATCTGGGTATGGAGAACCCTAGATTTGTATGTTAGGTTTGATTGTATGAACCCAAGTACTGATTCTATGATTTGATTATATTCAATTGAGGTTTGAATGATTGAATGACTTGAATCCTGATCAAATTCCTGTTGTTCCTGCTTTAACCTAGAATGAGAATATCTGCCTAGGTTGATAGAGCATCCTTGATTGAAGGTAGGGAGTTGGTGACTTTAGTCGAGGAGCCAACTCACTATTCTATACCGAATTCACTTCGGTAGTGGAGGTTTTGTTGTTAGGGCCTCAATCTGTTTACTCCGGTGGAGGTTAGTCGCCCGCTAGAGACTCAGATTGAGAGGGTCTGAAGACCTTTAGTCGAGACTTCAGGCTGTTTAAGAACCTTCCGCAGTATAACTATCATAGAAACTGAACTTGGTAATTGCAATCCGGCTTAACTGCAGTCTAGGGGGAACCATATCCGGGTGACCTCTCTTAACCTGAATACAACCGTTTAGTTGCTTTGCTTGTTTGTTAGTTTAGACCTGCACTAAAGTTTCATTGCTAGATAACAAGAATTCACCGAGTAGTCATCAAATCTAGGACCCGGGCTGACATTAAAACCCAAACCCTCTATACTATGCTTTAGGAAGTGGTTACACTTGGGCAATTTCTAGAGTGACAGTAGGAGTGAGTCACTCCCGTTTAGCAAAATGCCAACGTATTGACCCTATTATCTGCTTCTTCTCGTAGATCACGGACGGCAACTCTGATCTCTATTCTTGTTTGCTTCGTCTTCTGTAGCGCAAGAAATGCGGTTTGGCAGTCGGTTTCCACCTCCACCTAGTTGCGTTTGTTCCAAATTGTCCAGAGTATAATCCCAAATTCCTTAGGATTTCATCATCCACCTTCTCCATCACTTTGCATATCTAGCTTCCCACCGTTAAGTTGGGTTCTAGTTCGAATAGGGTTCGATAATCAGTTGGCCTCCAGAACGAGCACTCTATAGCCGCATCCTTTTCCTTATTTCGATATTTTTCCCAGTTGGTAGGATGTTGTGCACTACCCTCCACAAGAAGATTTTCACTTTCAGAGGTATCACTAAGCTCCATAATCGTTTCTAGTTCATTGGGTAATAGGTTTCCACGGTCTATTGTGTTTCCTCCTCTCCGTCATTTTCTTCTCTACTTTCGTCCTCTACATCAGCTAGTGTGCCTGCCATCTCCTTGTAGCAAAGTGTGTACCCTGTTTTGACCCAATAATTTCCTATTTTCTCATAACCCCAAATCCTTTCACCCAACGATGGTTGTCGAGGGACTGGAATCCCTTCAGTTCTCGCCATGTCCTGTTGGTTGAAGAAGTGTTGAAGTAATGATCTTTTCCGAGCTCTATTGGTATGGTCCATCAAATCCACCATCTCAGTGACTTCTTCTATGCTTGTAGTAATTTTGAAACCACTCTCTTCCGCGCGCATCACCCATCTTTCTCCCCATATGTATTTTACAACTTTTTCAGAATATGAAAACACGTCGTGTACTTTTGGTTTAACTTGCACTAATTATTTTTTTTCTTATTTAATAATTAACAAGTATTTAATTATTAATTTAATTTTTGAAAAATGACACCCCTATATAACATTCCTGGCTCCCCCACTATGTAGGTTAACGTTCAAAATACAAATTCAGTTTGTACTAAAAATGTGTGTTTTAACCAAAACACCAATTCTATAAAAGTATCATATAATTCTCTAATATCTTCGTTGATAATTTTTTCTGTTTTTACGTCACTTATTATTTATTTACCATATGGGCAAGGTAAGTTAGGTAACTCGTAATTATACCATATTTATCAAAGGTAAGATAGTCTAACGGTAAGCTGCCGCGACAGTGAAGGTTTGAGAGTTTCGGATCCTAGGTTCGAATCCAAGCGAGCCCCGTTGGTGTTCCCGGAGGTATAAGGCTGTTGGGGGCGAAGACCCGTTGGCATCGAATTGAATGCATGTGGCCCCCAGATTTAGTAGGACTTGCTGTAACAAAGTGACACGTGGGGTTGAGATTTCAGGATAATAAACATAATTATACCAAGCATTTTACCAACAAAATAAAAGATAAGTGATAACAATTAACAAGCACCTAGCCCAGCAAAAAAAGTTAAAATGCTAACTGGGAGTTTTGTTAGTAGATACTAACACGATCCAGATGCAATCCAAGGGGGGCCCAACAGCGATCCAATGGACGAGAGGGACGACTCACTTAAGTGAGTTGTGGTGGAGTGAAAATTGGCTTCTTCTTCCAAGCCGAGTAAAAAGAATAAGCTGGTGGAGTGGCTGCGGGTCCACCACCTTTTTGGGTAGGATTTGAGAGAAGAAGGGAAGAGAGAAGTGACAGAAAAAAGTGAAAAGTGAAAAGAAAAAAGGAGAATTAATTGGAGGGAAGTGAGAAGTGACAAGAAAATGGAAAGAAAAGTGAGAAATAATTGGAGAGAAGAGAGATGACGAAAAAATGGAAAGAAAAAAAGAGAAAAGTAATTGGAAGGAAGAGAGAAGTGACAAAATGTGGAAAGAAAAAAAAGAGTAATTGGGAAATTTATTTTTGGACCACTTCTTCTCTCTCTCTCTCTCTCTCTCTCTCTCTCTCTCTCTCTCTCTTGGATATTTATGTGGTTAGATATTAGTCTGGGAGGTATGAACATTTATTTTTGTATGAACTGATATTATATGCAATGAATATTAGTTTGTGAAGTAATAGATAATGTGTCTTCCATCAAAATTAAACACACTATCAAGTCCTAACACCTAAGGCTTGCAACCTTAGTACGGCTACCCGCCGATGGCCCATTGGCCGAATGCCTATGAAATAATAATAGTTAGAGAGTGAGTGTCTTCCAGACCCTGATGTCACTACCGGAGGATTCATCTTTTTGGGTTTATGACTTAATGATTAGGGTTTAGTGATTATAATTTAGGATTTAGTTTTTATGGTTTAGTGTTTATTTTTTAGGGATTAGGGTTTAGAGTTTATGTGCAGTTGGTATTAGTTTGCAATGGTCAGATATTAATCTGCGTGTGGTGGGTATTAGTCTGTGATAGTCAGATATTAATCTTTGTGTGGTGGGTATTTGTCTGCTACGGTCATATAATAGTCTGGGTAATTTGGATATTTGTTCTGTGGATGTTTATCTACTGATTTGTATATGATTACATCAATTTAGGGTTTAGTGTTAGGGTTTAGAATTAGGGCTTATGGTTTAGCGTTTGGGTTTTGATTTAGGGTTTAGAAGACGATATTGTGGACAATTTTATGAATACAATGTAGGGTGGTTCGATATTTGTTTATGGTGATAAGATATTATTATGTGATGGGAGGTTAAATATTAGTCTGTGTGTGATGGGTATTAGTCTATCATGGTGATGATATTAATTATGGTATCAGCGGATATTAGTCTTAGATGGTGGGATATTAGTCTGGGTGGTATGGGCCTTTTTTTATGGTGAACGGATATTAGTTTGGGTTGGTTTGGATATTTGTTTTATGTGATGTTTATCTATGTTTGTTTGTGTTGATATTTAGTTTAAGGGTATGCCTACTATGACATGCATGTCACCGTGACATGGACTTTTCGGTCGACCTATTCCTGAAGGCGGTCGACCGAATTGACTAATTTGGGCATCACGAGAAAGCATTGCGGTCGACCTCAACGACTACCTGGTCGACCGCACTTAGTTTAAGTTGTTATTTTTGGTCGACCAGAATAAAACCTCGGTCGGCCATTTCGTTGGCGTCAGAAACTACATGGTCGACCACCTAAGGTATATAGGTCGACCACTTGATGGCAGTCATTAACAAAATGGTCGACCGGATAAGGAAAGAGGCCGACCAGATAGAAGATAAGTGTTCTATCAAAGTGTCCAATCATTTGACGTAAAATGAAGATCAAGTGTTGGTTTCGAGGTCGACCTAATCCGGTACGAGGTCGACCGAATACAAGAAAGTCAACCTATGCCCCATGTATTTTTTGCTTATGTATGTCGATTTGTGTGGTTCTTTTGCTCGTATAAATTATGTTTCAAACCATCATAAATAGTCATAAATAATGATAACAAGGACTCATCAATTCATAGCATAACAACTAAACAAACTAACAAGAAATACAATAAAACAGAAATCATAATTGTTCACACATAAAAATAAAACTAAAAAAACAACAGAATAACAATCAACAATCGTTTTGACCACTTAACAATAAAAACACACAATCTAAAATCTCCGCGCTCCTACTCATCTCCCCTCTCTCCCTCATCCACATTTTCTTCATTGGTGGTGCTAGCATGATGGTGGTCGGATGTGGTGGGATGCATGTATCTTCCGCTGAAAGATCCCCACTCATCTCGCATCTCATTCACAGTCACCTGCATTGTGCTCATCTGGGCGGTCATTTGCCCCATGTAGTCGAACATGCCAGTCATCTGGGTGGACATCTGGCCCATGTACTCGTACATGGCATCCATGCGCTCCCACACATGCTCTAAGGTGATCGGTGGAGTTGAACTTTGTGCCTCCGCCATTGGCTCGTCTCTGGCTCCTTCATCACCATCATCATCCTCATCATCATCATCACCACCACCATGGGCACCATGAGCATTGTTTATTCTGACATACTCACCATTACGCAGCTCAAAGCCCATCTTTTTCAGAGATGAAACGGTATAGAACTCCTGCCTTGTGATTCCTAACCCCACCTCTTCACTTAAATTCACATTAAAATGCTCAAATAGCACAGTGAGGATCATCCCGTAGGGAAGATTCATGTTTGAACTCTCTGCAGCAGTAAGCATGTGGTGAAAGATCAAGTATGGCAAGTGCACCTTCTCGTTTAACAATAGGTTGGTGAGGAGCTCCATGTCAAAGTAGGTGACTGTCTCCCGATGTCCACCCTTTGGCAGAATGTTGTAGGAAAACATGTGGTGAAGAACTCTGGCTTGAACTGTCAGGTGGTTACTCGTTGGCCTATTGCGACCCTGAGCATCTTCCTCTTCATCAAGACCACATACCGTCTGGATTTGCTTGGCTCTCGTGAAATGCGTTTCATTCCAAGCACCGTAAGAATGGATTCTCTTCCCCTCCTTTGGAGCCTCTAGTACTTGCGCAAACACATTCTTGCTGATGCGCATCGCCACCCCATTCACATAGGATTTGAATGCGTGAATGGATCCATTTGCATTGCGCTCGTAGACGATGTTGTTGTAGAAGTACTGTACCAGTTTTGGGTAGTATGGTACATTGAGAGATATCACCTTCAGCCACTCTTGCTCAATGAAGGGTCCCAGAAACCCGTAATTCTCGAAATGAGAATACGCATCCGTCGTCAATGGCCTTCCAATTCTCTTCTCTTCATAGTTGTCACCTTGATCCTTGGTCTGGAACAGTTTGGGATTGAACTCTTCCCATTCCGAACTTGAGGCAGCAGCTTTTTGTGACTTTCTTTTCTTATTTTTGCCATCCTGCAACGATCGGAATACGAATTTAATGTCAAAAACATACACAATTAGCTCTCGTCAGGTCGACCTGAATGAACTGTACGGTCGACCTTATTACAAATATTTTAAGCTTCTAGCATAATACGTGACACTTAACAGTCAGAAAATTATAGGAAACACTTACCAATTTCTTGCATAGTGCTGATTTACGCCTACGATTCGCCTCACTAGTTGAAGGTAGACTGTCAAGCAAAAATGTAGTTTTTTGCTGGACATTGACGAGATACAGAAACCAATGATGTGCTTCATCATCAAGAACTGGCATAAATATCTAGCAACGAAACACTCACTATATGTTATAAACAGCGAATACAAACAAATGCACTTTAGAAATTTAATGATATAGGGACATTGACTAGACTAACCTTATGGCATGCACTAACATTCGACATAAACACCACGCCATCATTCATCAACTTGTTACGAATTTGTCTGGTCTTCATGTTAGCGCGTACCATTTTCTGCACCATGTATTTAATTGAGATGAATTGACATGGTACAATATAAATAACTAGGTTATGACAAATAATTTGACATTACGGCTCTTACCGAAAACATATTTGGCAAATACCACACATTTGGCTCTTTCACATCATGTTTTTCAGACATTATTAGTGCCCTTGCACACAAATCCACTACCTACCATCCAACAATCAAACACAAAATCACCGTAAATCGTAACATAAATAGTGCACAATTCATACGAAATTCGTAGTAGTATAGTACTTACTGATGAGCAAACCCAGCTATTCTCGCTAATGACCAAACTCAAATAATGTCATTGCACCTTTTCAGAAAAAAAGTCCACAACGGTCAAACTGCAAAAATCAAAATAACAGAAATGTCAATTGTGATTTGCAACGTACAGGTCGACCTGTTCACAGTCACGGTCGACCTTATTGGACAAACGGTCGACCTCATGACCTAAACGGTCGACCACACGTACTAAAAAACGTCTTACTTGTCCCAATTCGTGTCCCCAGCCTTCTCTTTAGTAACAACATAATACAAGTCTTCAACTGGATTTTGAAGATTTTTGGTGAATCCTTCTAGACCCTCCACTTTCATGACCTACAAATCATAGTTAAAATTAAAGTAACATATGAACACAAACACACATTATAGATGAACATGTAACGTAAACTTACCCCGTGCTTTTCGAAAGAACTCTTAGATTCATCTTCATCGCTATCAACACTAAATAATCCTTTTCTTACAAATTGATCCTTCTGTGGAGTGGTGTAGGAGTCACTTTCATATCGCGGTCTCTTGTACTTAGGAGAGGAACCCTTGCTGCCATTCGTTGTTTCACTCTGTCAAACATATAAACAAAACAAATTAGCACTAATGATAGTAATACTAATATCTTCAATCACATATGAATATACTTGGATACCTTTAAAATGTGCTCTTTCAATAAATCGTCTATGCTCTGGTAGCAATTTTCAGAGTCATCATGGTCTTCCTCCTCTTTACCAAAGTCAAATTTCTTTCCTTTACCATCTCTTCCGCCATTCTCCATTCGTTCTGCACTTATATCTTTGATAGCACCTTCTAGCCTCTCAAACCCGTCATGCATCATCCCAGTCATATCTGTCAGTCGAACTGACAATTGCTCCACTCTATCACGCATGGACTTCTGAAAGTCATTGACTTGTGTTTGACACACCATCAGCTTCTCTTGTGTGGCTTTCAACAATTTCATGATTTCACCCAAATCTTGATGCAGTCTCTCATCATGCGTCATCGTCTAAACAATTTAAAGAAAAATTCAAATCATAATTCAACTACAAATTTCTACAATTGACCCAAAAAAAAAGACGTGGTCGACCTGACAAAGTATTAGGTCGACCTGGAAGACAAATAGTGACTACCACAACCATTAAGGTCGACCTCTGTTCTTCCTAGGTCGACCTATCCAGCAGGAAAAATAACAATTAACAACAAAAAGTAAGTTCAAAATTAAAACAAAAAAAGGATAGGTCGACCAGATATCTGGCGCGGTCTACCTTTTCAAGCACAACATACTCATACAAACAAAGACAAAGTCGACATTCAGGTTGAATAACCAAAACAAACAGAAACGGTCAACCTTGAAACACATTAGGTCGACCACTTGGGTTGATCTTCGTTACCTCGCAAGTACAGAAGTCCAAGTGTTGTGCCCTAAATTCAAATACGAAGAATTGTCTCGTCAGGTCGACCTGGTTGATGTCACGGTCGACCGAATGGAATTCTGCACACAACAATATATCAAATTAGACGCTGGAAATCACGCATTACAAAAGATGATGGTGAATGCTACATTAGGTCGACCTCACTTTTGACCTGGTCGACCACTTCCAACACGTACAACAGCAACCGCGAACGATCTTCTTCACAAAGGCTCTAATTCAGAAAAAAAAACCTAATTCAGAAAAAAAAACCTAATTCAGACTTGGTGGGTTGAAGGGGACTTATATTCGTATTTATAGAGATTTAGAACATGAATGGGTCGACCCAATTCGTTTTCTTGTCCAATTGTGGAACCTTTCTGGTGTTGGAATCCTTGTCTAATACAGATACGGTGTGAATGCGGTCGACCGCTTTCTAATGCGGTCGACCTGTTAGGTGCACAATGGTCGCCCTATGAGGTATTTGGGTCGATCTTTCATTCTGTTAGTCCACCAAAGAGGTCGACCATATTATGTAAGAGGTCGACCGCGTCTCGGAACCTCACATACATGAATTAGTCAGTCTGGTCGACCGCATGTTGGATTAGGTTGACCGAAAAGTCCATGTCACGGTGACATGCATGTCACCGTAGCAAAATCCTTAGTTTAAACATATCCATAACAAAAAAGTCGTTTTTCGACAAACCGCGATACAACTACTATTCAGTGTCATTCCAACTTTGCAATCTCATAATCTAAAATCCGTAAAAGTACAACCACAAAAATGAAAAAGGAATAGTTCAAATGTTGTCTTGCTTGGCCAAACTTTCGATAATATTTTTGATCATATCCCTCCAAGCCCTCCACGTTTCGATCATGCCATTTTTGGGATGTGGATAGTTGTTATGGTGAACGGATATTAGTTTGCGACGTTCAGATATTAGCTTGGGTGGTTTGGATATTTGTTTTGTATGAATGGATATTAGTATGTGATGGTTAGACATTAGTCTGTGTTGTTTGAATATTTGTTTTGTTTGGATATTTATCTACTTAATTTGTATCATTGTTGAAATGAACTAGTATTTAGCATCCCCAAATCACAAAATGTATTCCATAACAAAACACTGGTTTTCAAGTATGCAAAACCATAATCAACACTCAATACAACTAGTATTTAAAGCAATTAAGACATGACAATTATAACATTACAAACAGAGCAATATCGAAGGAATCATTTAACAAATATCTTGACCTCACATAACAAATATCAGGACACTAATATCCATACATGGCAGAGTAATATCCTGATTGGGGGGAGATAACTAATATCTGGACAACCAATTGCATACTAGAATCCACATCATCAACAAATTGAATCCCAAATACCCCATGTCTAATCCCAACTACATGGGCATTATAGTGCCAGAGTAAGAGATTAGCCGCAATGAGTGCTCCTTGTCTTCCATTATGCAAAATCCCTAAAGCACATATAAATATCCGGTAAACATAGAAAAATATCCAATAAAAAGCTGACAAATATCCAAAAATGAAGGACAAATATCCATGCATAATATGTTTAATATATGGACATCACAGAACTAACATCATAGAAGTAATATCCATATTGATAGACCAATAATTACACCTGTTTTTACCACTATTCTTGAGCCGTTTGAGAGGTTGATTCTCGTGTTTTAAGCCGATTTCACGCGAGGTTGTGCGTTTATGTCATATTTCAGGGCCCGGCGTTGGAATCGAGGCGAGGAAACGAGTTTTGGGTCGAAAAGAGCGAAGTTGGGTCGAAGTGTGCTGCAGGAGGAAAATACCCGGTCATGGGCTCAAATACCCGACCGGGTATTTATCGTTTTTGGCATCTGAGAAACAGAAGGGGTCCCGGTCGTGAAACATAAATCCCCGGTCGGGGATTCTTAGAGAAGACCGGGGATTTTTCTCTTCTCTTAAACGCGCGTTTCAATTATACCCGGTCGAGACCCAAAATACCCGACCGGGTATTTCGACCGGGTATCGCGACAGTCAGCCTTTTAAAGGAAAAGAAGGCCAAAAATCAAGGGTTCCGAGTTTTAGAGAGACAGAGCGATTCCTAGAGAGAGAAAGCGACGAACCAGAGTTCCCAAGTGCCATAGCTTGATCTTCATCACCATTGGAGCCCGGCTTGAGCTTGGAGAAGTGCCAATTGACAACCAGGAGCTGAAACCCATCCTTCACAGTATGTTTTCCGCATCTGAATCTGCTTTTGCTTCTCTCTCCATGGAGTAGTTTTCCCATTCATCTGGGTATGGAGAACCCTAGATTTGTATGTTAGGTCTGATTGTATGAACCCAAGTACAGATTTCATGAGTTGATTATATTCGATTGAGGCTTGAATGTTTGAATGGCTTGAATCCTGATCAAATTCCTGTTGTTTTTGCTTTAACCTAGAATGAGAATATCTACCTAGGTTGATAGAGCACCCTTAATTGAAGGTGGCGAATTGGTAACTTTAGTCGAGGAGCCAATTCGCTATTCTGTACCGAATTCAATTCGGTAGTGGAGGTTTAGTTCATTAGGGCCTCACTCTGTTTACTCCGGTGGAGGTTAGTCGCCCGCTGGAGACTCAGATTAAGAGGGTCTGGAGACCTTTAGTCGACACTTCAGACTGTTTAAGAACTTTCCGCAGTATAACTATCATAGAAACTGAACTTGGTAATTGCAATCCGGCTTAACTGCAGTCTAGGGGGAACCATATCCGGGTGACCTCTCTCGACTTGAAACAACCGTTTAACTTGCTTTGTGTTTTTGTTTGTTTGAACCTGCACTTAAGTTTTACCGCTAGATAATAAGAATTCACTGAGTAGTCATCATATCTAGGACCCGAGTTGACATTTAAACCCAAACCCGCTATACTACGCTTTAGGAAGTGGTTTCACTTGGCCATTTTCTAGAGTGACAGTAGGAGTGAGTCACATATACAAACAAATAAGTATCCAGACATAATATAACAGATATCTCAACCGCATAGAACTAATATAAGTGAACTAACATCCATATAAGGCAGAGAAATATCAAGACAGAGTAAACAAATATCCATAATATAACAGATATCTCAACCGCACATAACTAATATCTTAATGATCAATTACAGAACAATATCCACATCATCAAAAAGTAGTATCCCAAGTATGCTAATTGTTATCCACTATGAAAGGAACTAATATTCCAGATCTACAATCGAATCCCAGATCCCAGCCACACAACTATCCATGCAATTGAAAAATGATATCCTGCCTGAACAGAACTAATATCAGAACGCACACAAAACATATCCACAAAACCCAGAAAACAAAGCAACCCAGATCTAGTCAAATCCACAAAATCCATAAACCTAGCAACCCAGACCCAGATCCAATCAAATCCACAATTAGAAACATATCCACAAAATCCACAAAAGAAAGCAACCCAGATCCAATCAAATCTAAGTTACCAGAAAACAAATCCATCAAACTCATAAAAAAAAACGTAGGAAAAGAAAAACCCAGATCTAGTCGAAGCCATGCAACCCTAACTCAATCTACTCAAACGAACATGAGTATCCATAAACAAAGGGAAAAAAAAAACTTTGCTACCTCAGTCAACGAAGTAGTTCTTTCTTCAACGACCTCCGTCAACCAACCCCTTCGTCGCCGCCGTTTCGTCTGCACCGTCAAAATAAGCCCGCTTCGTCTGCACCTTAGCCGCGGTCAACCAACCTTTTCGTCGCCGCCGCTTCGTCTACACCGTCGTTGCCGTCAACCAACCTGGTCGCCGTCGTTGTTATCGGGAGATGAAAGGGAGAGGGAGAGGAAAGAGAGAGGAAGTGGAAACAATTGATTTTTAGAGAGAGAGGGAAAAAATGTGTATGGTGGAGAAAGATTAGAGAGGGGAGGGTTTTGAGTAAAAAAGGTGGTGTTTTTTGAATTTGGGGGCCAGGTGAGCTCCATTTTTTTTCTGTAGACTTGGGCCAGCCGATGAACTCGTCTCTCCTCCCTTACATACTGGCGCCAATCTTCCTCCACCGATGAATCGTGGCTTGGCGACGTGGCTGTCCATCCAATTCTATTAGTATCTCCTAACAAAGAACTCTCTTAGGAGTATAAGTGTATAACTAGGTTGCCCAGCCCAGCCACCTACAGCCACTTACTAACAAACTTGCCTTGGAAGGTAATGGACTGTTTTAGTGGGAAAAAAGAGGTCAAGAAAAAGAAAGAGAATAGTCAACTGAAATCAACCAACCAGGCTAAGCCTCTGCCAACCAGGCCGTTGAAAACCAAAACGTGCAGCAGGAAGCCAGGAACCCATCAGTCTTCCCGATTTCGCCTACCATTCATTCATAAAACCTCTTTCTGCTCAAGAACTGAGAAGTGTGAAACTACAAAGGGAAAATCCAAATTCAGCAGCAATTCCGCAAACGAGAAAACAACAAGACTAAGAATCGGAAATTCCCATTCCCATTCCCTAGTTCTCTCCCTCATCCTTTCTTTTTCTCGGTCCTGTCTTTGATCCCAAGAAGAAGAAGAAGAAGAAGAAGAATAGTGGGGCGCATTTGCTGGAAGAAAGAATGGCGAGAGCTGGAGGGATTTCAAATGCGGTCAATGTAGGGATCGCTGTCCAAGCCGATTGGGAGAATCGCGAGTTTATCTCTCACATCTCCCTCAACATCCGTCGCCTCTTCGATTTCCTCCTCCAATTCGGTACCTTTTCTCGTCTTCTTCCCCTGCCCTCTTCGCTTCTCCTGCTTCACCTTTCTGGGTTGTGTTTAATTTTTCCATTCCCGGATTCTCCAGAGGCTACGACTAAAACAAAACTGGCGTCGCTGAACGAGAAGCTCGATACTCTGGAGCGTCGACTGGAGCTGCTTGAGGTCCAAGTCGGTACCGCAACAGCCAACCCTTCCCTTTTCAATACCTGAACTTTTTTTCCAGTCTGAATTTTCGCTACTGCGGCTACTACTTGTAAGCGTATCTCTCCGTGATCTTCTATGTCTGCTGTGGAAGCTTGAATTTGTACTGTTATACTTCCGAGTTCCAATATACATAAATCGACATTTAGCTTCTGCGTTTATGATCTATGTGCCTATTTGCGCTGTAAACTGAACGGAATTCCAGTGTTTGATGATGGAGAACAATTTGAATAGACTATGGCATAACCCGTTATTGCCAGTACTTAACTTAGTACGCCAGGTAGCTACTTCGTCCTTTTAGCAAAAACCCCACCAGAAACACAAGAAACGCCGTTCTGTGGCTGTCTTGCACCAAGGAGTGCAGATAGATAATTAGGTTACTGTTCTGCATCTCTTTGTTCTATGAATATGTGAGCGGAGTTTGTGATAAGATAACCAATTACGCACCGTCCTTGGTCTGTAATTGTTATGTCCTTTCACACTTACAGCCACCATGCATCGGATATGGTATCTGGTCTCGGATGAACGCGCTTAGTTTCAGATTTTATTTCCTTTATTGTATTGTAGCCTAATAGCCTATGGAATGTGATTGCCTTGCAATCTGTATGCAAGTAATATTTGACGGTGATGTTAATCAGCGATCTTATCGTGCTTGAGATCACTGTTTAAATTTGCTTTCTTGTCACTTTGTTTGGCTGCATGTTCAGCTGGCATCTTAACTCCTCCAAGTTGTTACTTTTGAAAGTGACATTCTTCACATCTTGAAATCCCTTAAACATACTATTACATGCAAACAAAGGTCATCTGCCCGCTAAGTTTGCTGTTGAAGTTTCTCTTAGCTATGCACCACTCCAGTTAGATTTTTCCTCAATCTTTTACCAGTTATAATAAGATTTGATCTCTTGGGTGATACAGGTAGTTTTACTCATGACTTCAAATGCATATGCAAATAAGCTCTGCTAAAATATAGTGAATTTCATAACATGTTCATATCAATGTACAATGACGATTTCCATTGGAAAATATATGTGGTTATTGGGCATGGGCCTTCTATCACTAGAGTGGCAAGTTCTGGTTTCAGACTCGTTTAGTGGACACTTCAAGATGTTGAAATCATAGATTCAACAAAACATGTCTGACAATAAGATCTGAACCGATTGAAAGTTCATGTGAACTATTGTTTTGATTAGCTTAGTGATCGAGGATCTTATTTTTACAGCCTCATCGTTCATGGTTTATGAAGGTGTCAATTGATCTCGTTTAGAAAGTGAAGACCTCTTTTATGCATAAACTATATGAGCGAACTTTTTTATCTTATAGAATGATTTGAACTTAACTTAAATCCTCAATAAATTTTATGTGTGTGTTTCCTGTTTAGTTTGTTGGTGAGCTCTACAATAAAGAAAATGTTCTCTTGGTCGAAACAATAGCTCCGATCCATGAATTGTGTTGACATGGCTTTCACATGCTTTGCGTTGCTTTCCAGTTCAAGAAGGCTAACTTGCTAATTTCAGCGAATTGTTATATTATCCTACTATTTTAGATAAGAAAATCAGGATACAATCTCATTTAAGGTTTTGAGTCATTTTTCAAAAAAAGTGGTTCTCTCAACTTCAATACTGAAGAGATGAAATTAACAAATCGTAATGAACTATCAGGTACATCATCTCCTGTGAAAGAGCATTCGTCCTTTCATAATCTTCCTTATGACTCAATGAAATTGATATCATACATGCTAAGCAACATTTTTGCATCCACTATCTTGGTGCTACCGAGGCCATTGATTGGGGGTTGACTGGTGAAGGTTCTGGTGGGGTAGGAGGTGGTGGTGGTAGAACAGGAGGCTTCATTGCTATTGAGAAGCGATTTGACCCTCCCAAGCTGTATCCTCCTATGCTGTCTAGGGATTTCATATATTCAGATGCATTGTTCTCTATGATCAAAGCATCTTCCAACTCCCTCACGATATCAGGCATGCATGGACGATAAGCAGAGAAGGTCTCAATGCATGCTAAAGACACCTCTACCACTCTCCACATTGCTTCTGCGTGGTACCCTCCCTTTATACCTGGATCAACAATTTCATCGATCCTCGATTCCCTTATATAAGGTTTAGCCTGCACATAAATATATGTTTCCCCCACTTTGCTGTTAATTTAGACACTTGGTTGAACCAGTAATCACCATCTTGATATATGAGTTATTGGACTTACCCATTCCACCAAGCTCCACTCGTTCCGAGGCCTTTGTATGTTGAGTGGCTCCCGACCACTTATGATTTCTAGTAAAACCACTCCGAAGCTAAAGACATCACTTTTTGCTGTTAGATGCTGGGTTGAGTAATACCTGATTCATAGGTATACAAGTAGTTTCTGAGCTTTATTATGAACTCTTGGGAAATTATACTATTCATAGATATTGGAATAAGCTGATTAATCGAAATTGGTTGATGAATTAGTAACATGTTCTAGTGTGTGCTTACTCGGGGTCCAAGTATCCAGCTGTTCCTCTTACTTCAAGAGAAGCACCACTATCGCCCTCTTGAGGAGCATACTTTGAGAATCCAAAGTCTGCTACCTTGGCGTTCATGCTATGGTCTAGAAGAATGTTGCTGGACTTTACATCTCGATGTATAATGCAACGTTCAGCAAATGTGTGCAGAAATGTCAAGCCTGAGCTACAGCAATCATTGAAATATGTACCGTCACCTCGTGATCAGGTGCTAAGACAAAATTAGCACACTATTTAAAGCTTAATTACTTGCCTCGAGCTGCTCCAAGAGCAATAGAAAGTCTGGTTGGCCAGTCTAGAGTTTTCCTTTTTGATGCTTCTCCTGTCACACAAGGTGTTTGTTAGAAAAATATAGTCAAATGTCCAACGCAACCTAGACGGTTGATCCTTCTCCTCCCCTATCCCTCCTTCCCTGCTCTCCCTCTTCTCCTTTTCTTTATAAAGAGGCTTGGTGAAAGTTAAACTTACCATAAAGCCGATCTTGCAGCGAGCCATTTGACATAAATGGATAGACCAAGATTTGCTGATCACTTTCACTACAGTAACCAATCAGAGGGACTAAGTTCTCATGCCGAATTGCTGAGAAAAGGTTTAGCTGTGCCATGCAATTGAGTTAGTTTTATTTGTGCTGTTTATAACATTAATTATATCTCTCCATCTGATAAATAGCTAGAGCAGCAGATAGAAATATGTTCCTGTACCTCGTTCTGGAATTCCTTTGTTCCTTGAGTTGAGGTAGAGGATCGCACCTTCACTGCTACATCCGTACCGTCAGATAGTGTGCCACGATAAACTGACCCAAACCCTCCTTCACCTATGAGAGTCTTATATTTTTGGGTTGCATTCTCAATCTGACTTAGAGTGAACATTTGAATATTTATAGTCTTCAAGGGGTCCTCATTGGTCGTGGCTATGGAGTATACTGCACCTGCAGAGTGACATGGTAATATTTGGTTCTCATTCTTACAGTAGTAACCAGTGCTTAATTTGGTAATCAATCTGTTTTTTGAAGGATTTTCTTTTGCAGTAGTTGGGAAACAATGGCTGAGGGGTGGTTACTCATAGTTTGCGATGTTGAATAAGTTCCAATGTCTGAGGGTATATGGATGTTATCACGTGATATGCATGTGTCTGTAGCTTTCTGCTCTCTAATTACTGGAACATCTGAAACAAAGCTTTCAAGATGCTCTCTGTGTTCTTTCTTCCAACTGTATTAATATTAGGTGGGAGATAGTTGATCTGCTTACCCTTTGACATTAAGAGTTGTTTTCCATTCATACATTGCCAAGTTCCGAGTTTTTTTCTGCAGAGCCAGAGACAAGCAGCTGCAACAGCTGCCGCTACTAGGAAAGATCCACATACAATAGCAATAACAACGCGGTTGTGTTTACTTGGAGATCCTGGCCTGGCACATTCCCTAGAGCTGAAACATTAAAGTAAAACATGCGAGATTTTCTTCAATCAATTACTTGATGCTAAGTTAAAATAGAGTACTGACTGGAACATATGAAGGATGTCATACTCTGTTGTGACTCTTGAGCGATTAAAGGTGGAAGGATCTGCACTGACATGAACATTGCATCCAAAATTTCTGGTAATCATGGAATGTGAAATGGTTAAGCTTCCAACAGGTGACAATGTTTAGATCTGTGCTCCTTTTGAAGGAAAGGAAAAGGCTAACAGTTGATAACATGAACTTACAGCGTTGTCAAATGTGGTAATGTAACTAAAGTGCCTGGAAGACTCCCAGAAAGGTCATTGTAGCTTAGATCCCTGGTGATCATGGATTAATCAGATGAGATGGTTGCAAGAATTTAGATTGTCAAAGAAATTTGCAAGAATTTAGCTTTTGTATGACTACAGCTTCCATCTCGACAGCATTTGCTTGTAGTTGCAGTTGTTAATATCTCTCTCTGAACAAGTTTGGAAATAGGCTTTCGGTGGTCTTACTGCCTTAGGAACATAGCTTGGAGTAGGAACTTACACTGCTGTCAACATAGACGACCTTGGGAACTCTGGAATCTTGCCTGTGAACCCGTTGTTGCTGAGGTTCCTGAATACCACAGCAATAGAGGAATGTGTTAGAGACACCGATAATATGTGATATTATATACAGAGTTGACATCACCAATCTTACAGTTCCTTCAGGTAGGTTAGCTGAGAAATCATGGTGGGAATTTGCCCTAGAAGTTGACTTGAGGAGATATCCCTGTAAGGACACGTGGTACATTTAGTACAAGCTGCTCAAAAGATCTAAATGACAGAAGCAACAACTGCCCAGGTGTTTGGACAGTCTTTGCTTACTGTGGCAACACATGGTCTCTGCATTGTAGCAAGTTAAAACTTACAGCTTAGTGATGATAGTGGACCCATTACTGTAGTGGCAGGCAAGACCATCCCAAGAAGAAGGCTGACATGGATCTCCTGACCAGCCCTCCAATTTCTTGTTCTCCTTGTTTTGCTGCAGCAGCCCATCTTTCACCCTATCCATCACTCTCACTGGAAGGTGGAAAACGTAAATTACCAGTCAGCAATAAGTTAATTGTTGATAATTGTTTTTCTTCTGTGGGAAGGTAAATACAATCAACTATAGTGTACAATTCGCATAATGAAATATGGTTCATCTGGATTTTAAAGCTGAGAATATAGCTTTAATAGAAGGGGCATGCAGACCCAATATCAGCATATGTAGTAGGGATTGCGTTTAATGGGGACATTGAATGTGAAACCACCAAGTCACCACTAGACGTACTTATCAATAGGAAAAGCAATTGAACATACATACCATCTCTTTGATTAGTCCCTTGGACCCATTTACGAATCTGCATGATCTCATATGCATTTAGGATAGGTCCAAATTTGGATCTGTTCTCGACCCTGGCTAAGGTCAAGTTTAGAGAACCATTTGCTGTAACGTTGAGAGCAACTTCACTGTAGTTTGACCCCTTTTCCCGTATGTCAAAGTTTGCTTTCTGCTTTTCATTGTTGAGATAGATGTCAAACACTCTTTGGCCAGGCCTAACATTGTCATCTAGCTCAAAAAAGTGGAGAAAGATAGTATAGTTGCAATCCCTTGTTTCAAGATCAATGTACAAGAACTGGAAACTGTATTCATTTGTTATTGCAGTTTCGAGAACTTTGAGAGGCACTTTTGCAGCAGTCTTGGAGATGGTATTGTTGATTGCGGTTATTGCAGACAAACTGACTCTTTCTGTATCGGGACTTGTCCACAGTCTGTCATTTGGATCATCTGGGAACCTGTACCATATAACATGGAGAATGTAAGTTGAATAGTTTTGTGTCTGTGTATATGTATCGACTATCGAGCAGGACTGGAAAGATGCTAGCAATGGAGTGGAAAAGTTTCCTATTCGCTTTGTGGAAAGGGGCAAAATGATTTGAATGTTTAGTATTTTTTGGTTGTAAATGCGAACACTGGATCATGTGCATGACAGGTGGTCTGGATAATGGAAGTTGCTAAGTTATTCTAGGTGATTTGTGATGCATGCTCTGCAATTTTTAATTCGCAGGTTGGATATCTCTCTAAATTTTCCTGGCTGTACTATCATAGGCTGTGAAAACATATGGAGCAGTTTGCAGGTCATTCGAGTCTCAAGATGCATGAAAACTTATGGGAAGGGAAGTATAGATCTGATCCTGGAATACTAACGTGTAAACTTGCAGATATTGATAAATGGAAAGGTTGCAATTGCTGTGCTAGAGCTAATGAAACGCTGGCCATGGCCCAGTAGTTGTGGCAGATGGTATGTATCCTAATTGGTGCCTGGAACCTAATTTAGCTCTTAAACCTTGATATTTGATGGAAGAGTTCCAGAAAAGGATGCTTGTCAGTAGCCTTATCCCTTCAATCGAATGTGCTTAATCGGTCTTTGAGCAGATAATTAAAAAAAAAAAAAAAAAAAAGTGCTCAACAAGTACCTGATTGTATTCCCGCTGTTTCCCAAATCCACTCTGTCCACCAATTTCAGGAGGACCGCAGAATCTTTTCCATCCAGGTAACTTGAATCATCATACAGGGGCCTCAATTCAATCTGTGAAATGTAAGGATCTCCTGTTTCTTGCACCAAACAGAAATCTGTGTACTGATCAGTAGCTCTGAAGATGCTTTCAACTTGTGATTCTCCTGAAGAGTCCACCAAACCTATTGGTGTTACACCAACCAAGACATCAAAGGTAGGGGATTCCGACCCTAGTACTGTGTTGCTGAAAGGGAATGTGCCTCTTATCAAATAGTCGTGGTCCGGAGTTGTTGGCAAGCTGTAACATCTCTTCTCAGCGTTACCAATGTAGAAATATCTAACTTTATCGTGGCCTGTTGTGTAGTTATCGGGTGATGCTCTGGCTATGTTCTGGCAACCTGTTTCATCTGGATACCATTGATCATCTGATATCCAAGTTATTGAGGAGCTATCTGTTTGCCCTTTTCCACCACAGCATTTTATGCTTATGAAACCTGCAGGTCACAAGATTCTCATGTTTTAGTAAATTCTGCTTTCCTTCCCTGAATCATTGTTGGAACAAAGAGGGGAGCAACTACAGGCAAGAATTGTCCGTGAACTTGGAATTTGGTCAGGGTAGTCCGAAATCTCATGACTACCTAGAATTGTATCTTCTGTCGTTATAACTACTTCACTTCAGGGTTATTTTCCAGGAAGGAAAATTCCTGTGTTTAGTTCCTTGATCCATTGCGTGTTGATGGATATATTGAGTGTGTTTATCTGAATTCAGCTAGGGTTCATGAGTTTGGCACTTGCATACACCAAGTTCTCAGGCTCAATAAAAGGTAACAATTACTATTGTGCATTTACTACCGAAATGGCTGATTCTTTTAATGCCAAGGTGGCAGTCAAAACATATTTTCAGCGTCCGGAATATCTGGTTGGAATTAGATCAATACTCATGAATGAGCCTGATCCATGATCCTGATACTTTGCAACAAGATCTCTTCTGGAAGATCTTGTCAATTGATAAATACAGTTGCTGGCGTATGCAGTTTAATGCTAACACAGACATGTCTTGGTGTGTGGAGTTGAAATACTTACCTTCTTGTTGTGCAGGAATTGATTGAACAAGTAATATGAGCAGGCAAAGAATGGAAGAGTCAACACTTGTCAACCTCCAATTATGCCTTCCTCCCATCCCCATCATCTTCTCATCTTACAACGGGCTCGCCCCATCCGGTCATCAGAAGATGAAAAGACCTGCTTCTCAGTTCATCAAACTCTTGCTCAGAACCCAAAGATTCCTCACTTCTGCAAAGCTCTTGTGCCTGAGCTTTTCCGGCTAGAAATTGACCGAGCTGAATCAATATTGAGATACTCCCAAAGCAAAAACCAATGAACTCACTAGCTGGCTAAGCAGTAGGACATGGAATATAAGGGAAATCCAAAAAAGAAGGGTCTGTTCAGAAGGAGCTAATCACAGAGAGCATCAGATGACAAAAGGGAATCAAAAGAAATTGGTAAGTTTCCCTTTCCTTGGTGAGGCAGATGATGATGATCAAAATAACAGGGTTTGACTTCAAAGCTAGAGGGTAGAAGGGGGAAAAAGGTGATTATTAGGGTGGGTGTGGGACTGAATCAGAATAAGTCCTAAGCTTAAAATATTGATTTCTAACTTATAAATTTAATTGGTTGTTGTTGTGGAGTGGCGTAATAAGAACATTGGTATTTCTTAGTATTAAAACCTTTGTTTTGGTGTAGAATTAGGGTACATTATCAATCGAACAAAGGGTTTTAAATAATTGGAAGGAACCTCTCCCTTCGTTTTTCGTCTCTCTTCTTGTCTCTTACCTGGTATAGAACATCATCATTCCAGCCCCGGGTTTGGTTTGATGGTATTTTGATTGACCTCTTTTTACTGTTCTAACTGATATGGAATCCTGATATGAACTGGATGGTTTCAGGCACAGGGTGTCAACGCGCTGCTGACAAACTGGAACTCTGGAGTTTCCTCTCCATTTTCCCAAGTCGTGAGAGAGTGTTGAAACTACTGCGGATTTGGTCAAGAGAGAACTGGCGAGTGAGGAAATGTCACCCACGCAATGACTTTCAGGTATCTGAACTCATGGATTCTGCTTGAACATCAGTTTGGTTCCACGCGTAGGGATCGCTATGGCTTTGAACCAAGTTTGTACCAATTAACAATGGACGGAATGAGCATTTATCTCACCGACAATCATTCTGACCACTTACTCCCAAACTCTTTTCTGGATGAAATTTGCTTTCTACAGAGTAAAATGATAGACGCAGGAGGTTGAGGGATGGTTTGCCAAAATATAGTTATTTTAATGTATATTATCGGAAATGTGCAATTTAGTTTGTATTTAGAAGAATATTGTAGTCTAAAACTGTACATGTGTGATGGCACATACACCTAACAAAATGCTAAAAGTATGCGCGTTTACACGTATCTCAAATGGAACAACTTACTATTACGCTCAAAATGGGATGCTCATGTTGAGAGGAACAACAAAAAGGTTCTGGTCAACATGTGCGCGAAAGTACCAACTTTTCTTCTTCCTCTTGGTCAAGAAGCCAATGAAGATGCATGAACAATTTGGACAGATCATCGACCATGGAGAGGAAGGTCATCTCAATGTCATCCCATTGGATGGAGAAGAAGACGGACTTACAACTCAATCTTCAGAAAGAGAAGAAGGTAGCAGTTTTGAAGAATACGAACTAATCCAAATCTTCTTGGATTTGCGGGAAGATGTTGAAGACTTCAAGGTATCACATCACTTGAGGGATTTCATCACTTCCTACGTCTTCTTCAATCTGCATCCTCAAAAAATCCACCTACCAGAGCAACCTCAACCACAGGAAACATCCAAGAGGAAGAATCGAGTATGATGATTCCCTTCACCTCTTAGTCAAGGTTTAGAACAACCTTGGAACCCATAAACCTTGAACAAGAGGAGAAATCCTATTACTTGCCACTGTGGGTGCCACGATCGATGCAGCAAGAGGATAAATCAAATTATACGTAGGAGGAATCGTGCATTGAGTATAGTGAGATATATTGAAGCCAAATTTATCAATCAAGAGGTCACTGATGATGATTTCGAGGAGAAAGAGATGGAGCTAGAGATATACATCAATAAAAGGTCGGGATTCTATATGAGGATACCTTACGAGCAAGCTATTATCATTGTGATGAAGACCTAGTATGGGGGAATAGTTGAAAGAAGCTCAATTCCAGATTTGAGTTAGCGCAAAGGCGCTCCGAATGCTCATTACAAGTCCCAAGTCGTGGCTAGAGAAGATTGAGGAATTGGAGTGCAAAGTATCAGAAGACTATCAAGAGTTTAATTCCCGAAGTGGATTCAATCGACATCCCATAGAGCCATCTTTAACAAATATCGACAAATGGGGTGTTGGGTGGACATCCAAACTTGATTGGTCATCTGGTTAAGGAGCATGTTCTTCGAGAGATGATGGGCAGCATAATTTTTTTTTTATTTTGAATTTTGTTTATGAGAAGAAGCATCAACTCTCTTCATTATCTGCTTTTTTCTTTTGCTTATGTAGAATGTCCCTATATAATGAATAAGAGTGATTTGAGCTAAGCCATCTATGTATATCTCGAATTGAACGTCAAATGAGTTAAACGGTTCCAAATATCTGGCATGACTTACTTATCTTTTAGTCCATTGAGGACAATGTCCTATTTAAAGTGTGGTGTGGAATTGTGTTGTGATGGTTTCCTTTGTATGCTCTATACATGCTATATGTTTAGTTGTTGAAATCGGATAATTTTATCCAATACTAGTATTTATGTGTTCTATGTGAACTTTTCAAAAATTACTAAAGATGTTTTTCCATCATTGACTCGTTTAGTCTTCCTCTACAAGCATGTTCACTACTCATCTTACTTTGAATCAATGAACCTAGGGATTTCACTTAGTCTAGGGAGGCTAGTGTAGTGTCTATGAATGATGTGACAGTCAAAGGTTTTTGAATGTCATGCTATTTGATTCATTGTATATTTCTAATTATGCGTTGAGTCTCACTTTTTAAAACTTTTTCCCATAAGGTGAATTGTATCTTATATAAAATGCTAAAACTACCTATCAAGACATGTTGGTATAATTTGAAATATGCTCAGTTTGTTCAAAATAAAGTGTGGGGTAAGCCCAACATGTGAGGCATCTCATCATTGCAAAAATATATATATATAATAAACAAAGATACATAAATTGCTCTTGCTCAACTAATAAGGGTCTAGTGCTATATAAAGTCCCTACGAATAAAAAATAAAAAAATAGTGATGAGAAAAACAAATAAAAATATAAAAAAATGAGTTTTTTGAAAGTAAAAAGTGATTAAAAGGTATGTCAAACGATGGTAGAAGCAGCTCAAGTTCTAAATCGTTTTTCAAAAGTTTCACCCTATGTGTTTTGAGACTCATGTGTGATTGGGGGTTTATGATTGAGATGGGTATCGTGTTGTTTATACATGCTAACATGGTCAGAGTCTTCTCTTGGCTATTTTTGACATTGCAAGTTCACTTATGATCCACTACCTAAGATCGATGGTTGAGTGTCACCTTTAGCGGCTATAGAGTTATATGATTATGAGTAGTGTTTGCTTGGGGACAAGCAAAGTTCAAGTGTGTGGTATTTTTTATAACAGTCAATTTATAGTATTTATTACTCTCATATTTGATACATTTCCCCATTTCTATCAAGGTATCTTTAGTATATTTTAACTATTTTATCTATGTGCCTAAGATAGACCTTGAGTGTGCTTTTGTACTATTTTAAGCCTTTTTGTGTTGTTTTTGTGCATTTTAAGGATTTTAATACACTCAAGGCGAGATTAAAAGCTCCTGGGCTCAAATAGAAATGGATTTGGACATGAGATACTCACTTCTTAATCCAAAGAAGCATATACGATAATTTAGTAGGTTTACCATGGATGAAGATCAAAGTGGGTCATAACCCATGAAGTCGCGCCCAAATTTGGAGGAGAGTTTGCATGGCCCACAAGCAACCTAGCCCATGAATAAAATAGACGGCGGACCCCACGGTCACATGAATGTTGCTAGGATAAATCCCATGGAAGCTTCTAGAAGATGCTTACTTCAGCCCCAAGTTGAGAAATCTGAGTCCCACAAGTCCAATGATGCTTTTGGCCGACTTTTAATTAGGAGGAAAATCCAAGAAAACTCATGAACTATAAATAGGAGTTTAAACTCTACCTTTTAAAGAAATTTTACACATCCACTCTGACCTACGAAGAGCACGAGTTAGCAATCTATAAAAAGAGGTGAAGTTCTGCTGGAGTTAAGAGAGGATGTCTTCATCATCTATGGTGATGTCTTCCTTGTCTGTTACGGGGTGCTAATTCACCACTGTTTAGTGTTCTGAATTCTTTGATGTGTTATGCATATATGTTTTAAGATTTAATGAGATGATACTATCATAAGATGCCACTTTCATTTGATGATTTTATCATCTTATACTTTAGTTATTCGAGAATGTAATCATCTTATGCTTTTATTATCTATAGTATGCTACTATGGTCATTATTTATATGACTATTATATGTTGTACGGGAAACCCAACTGATGTGCAGTCTCTATTTTAGGTGTGTATGAAGGGAAGGTACACCCCTTTATGCATGAATGAGATAGATACTCTATACTTAGATCATTAATACATAGACCATTTCTATGGCTCGTAAAGGCCCTAAATAGCAAGGACCTATCTTTACTTCATTTTTTGATTGATTAGTCTAGTGGCATTGATCACATTCATTCACACAGGTTATTGTCAGTGGTTAGCACATGTCAACAACTACCCCATCCTAGTCCAAGTTTAACCTAAGATGACATTGTCGTATAGTGGCAATCAAGGTCATATTTTACTCGGGTCGTGGTACCCTAGCCTAATTTCCACCTCGTCATTATTTAGTCGATCAGTTTGGAGGTTTGAGTGGAGGATTTGAGCTATTACTAGTTTAAAGATTGAATAAAGCTAAAAGCAAATACTTTGGGGAACTTCAACTCACTCTAGCCTAGGGCTACTATGCAATGTCTAGATACTTAGGGTTATCGAATGTGGTGAGTGAGCTCGTTTCCATGGGCTTTCGTGGTTATCCACACACCTCCGAGTACGCCTCCCCTAGATCCATATAAAGTCACCTTCAATGGATATTATCCATCGTCCACACTGAGGTCTTATCCTAGGCTCTATCTAAGAAGGCTACCTATGGCAGGGGTTTGGTCACCTCGACCACCATAAATCCCTATTCACACATCTGCCTCAATTTGCTGGATGACGCATATCCGTCTAACCCTAGAACTCCATACCCAGCGTAGAAGCATAAAGTAGGCTAATAGAGAAGATTAGGGTGACTTACCCAAACACAATCAATGATAGAATAGCATTAGAATCAACTAGATAAACACATTCATTCATTCAAACCCTAGAATATCCATACATACGTAGTAAACCCTAAAATTAGGGTTTGGGGTTTAGAACCCCTAGTACCTTAGAGGACTACTCTATAAAGGAGGGAAGAAGATACATAGAATAAATTGAAGAAGACTTGAGGTTGAGAAAGATGCCTCATCTCTTCTAGCTCCTTCCCCTTCTTCTCCTCTTCTCCTTCCTTAAGCTTCTCTATCTTCTCTCCCTCTAAAATTAGAAATTCTTCTCTCAAAATCAACTCCCCTAAATGGGGGAATTGGGTCTTCTATTTATGAGCAATCAAGGGACGGAGAAGTTCGCAGCCAACAGGACAGAGGCTGCGGGCCTTCACTGGCAAGGCGGGGATCTTACAACACAGTCGTATTGGCCTTCGGGATTGAGGAGATCACGAGCTGATTTCATGGTCGCAATCCGCGATCTTCCTTGCGGTCAAAATACAATATGGTCGTGATTCGAATGCAGAACCTTTCTATTTCTCCTCGGCTCCTTCTTCGCGAAGTTCGCGCCCTGAGACCTCCAATTCGCGATCGCGATCTTGGGCGCCCGGGCCGCGATCTTCAGCTTGACTTCATGGTCCATGATCTCGGCCGTGATCTTCTCTTCTAGGTCGTGATCTTCAGTCTCCTATCCCCTTGATATACTTGTGACCTTGTTTTGTATCTAATTCGCAATTATCGTCTAACACACCCTAAAATCACATCGAATTCAAATAGGAACGAAATAGGGATGCAATTGACAAAGTTCAAGCAGTTATACACATGAATTGGCATGAAACAAACCTCAATATGAAGAGTAAATAACACCAATTTAGGTGTTATCAGGGATGGAGTGAAAGCATGCATTAGCTAGTCATATTTCCTATTTCAAATGGGGAAAGCTCAAGTAGGATGGCATTAGTCGATAGGATAGGGCATCATAATAGATTGACATATAGGTGCATCTTATTAATGAGAATGTATGCATGAGATGACGCAACCTAAACAATGTCTTTTATCTTGATTTCCTTACTTTATAATTTCGAGTCTCTAGACTAAGTAGTATAGTGTCAACCATCTACTAGGGAACTTCCACCCATCATATTTAATTTCCTTTGCGTTCATTCAAACATTGGTTGCTAGATTTGAGTAGTCATTATCAAAATAGGACCCCAAAATTTTCAAGGATTACCACTTGTATCATCGCAGATCAACTCGCCTCAGAGTTCTACAAAATGAGTGACCTGTTATACATAAGGAAGTCGAAGACTCAATGTTGAACTTATTCAGAACAGGGATTATGTCCATACAAGTAAACTCTACCATCTCGACTTTAATTCCTAAGATTCATGTGGTTGATAAAATGAAAGAGTTCAGAACAATATTGTGTTACAATTTTCCCTAACTCCCTTTTTTATAACAAGGCAGAAACCCCCCACCGGAAATTCCCTCGGGCTCTGCCGTACTCCAGCTTGGCAGTTTCCATCGCCTATCTAGGGTTGAGCCCTGGAATATCTCTATGGGGGTAATGAAGAATAAAAAATGTTTAAATTATAAAAATTTCGTTTATTAATTTTATTAAAAATTAATACTAATGAAAGGGTTTTCTTTTCTTGGAAAAATATATCCAATTCAGTGTAATGAAAGAAAAAGGGGATGGCCTTTTATTATTACTAATCATTTTAGCACTATAAATCAAATACTAGGCTTTTTTTATCCCATGAATCAAATACAACTATGTTATTCCGATACTAGTAGGCTTTTTTATCCCATGAATCAAATACAACTATGTTATTTCCGATATCAGTAGTGGCTCATTATTTCGATGAATCATTTCTTCAGACAAAAAGATTATATAAAACTTACTCGAAATCCCACTATTAGATTCCATTGCGGAAGACACAATTTTTTCTGAACAATTCGCCATGATATATCTGATACATGCATAATATCATGATAAATGGATACAAAATGAGTAACGCAAACATTGGTGAGAATCCAATGCCTCAAAAACCTAAGGGTTCCTCCGCAAGGTTCATCCATAAACAACATGTGAATATTCCTGTACTACCCCTTGTTGGTCCCGAGGGACGGAGGAGGCTAGGTTAGCTGAAAGATGGTTATCCGTTCAAGAACACACGCTGTCCTTGCTCTTAGGGTAGAGAAAATGCCTCGAGCCAATGTTCGAGTACCAGGCGCTACAACGCTGAAGTAACCCATGCCATACTCCCAAGGAAAGCTCAAACGACCTTCAACAAAGGGTACTTGTACACGAAACTGACACAGGTCGGTAGGTAGAGAATACATAGGGGCGCGAGAAAACTCTCTCTAAGGAACTCTACATAATACCCACGTAACTTCGGGAGAATGGTTTCTTCCTCACGAAGGGGGGTCGAAGTGACCAGGCCCGAGCGACTGTTTACCAAAACCACATGTCTCCGCAAAGTGGTAAGTCCATGTATGGGGGCTAACGCCTTCCCAGTGTCGGAAGGTCAAGAAAGTTGGTGACCTTATAACATGGGAGCCGGCGACCGAAGCCTCAGGTAACAGGGGCGTAACTTTAATAGTCCTAAGGTAGCAAAATTCCTTGTCGGGTAAGTTCCGACCCACACAAAAGGCGTAACGATCTGGGCACTGTCTCGGAGAGAGGCTCGGTGACATAGACATGTGACACGCTAAAACACAACACTAAACTGTGACCAAGTGTAATTGCAGTCCGGAAATGCAGTAACAGGAAAGCTCTATTTGTCAACCCGGGGTCTAGATCTACTGCATACTCCGTGAATATCTATTATCTAGCAAACTAAGTCGAGTGATTGTGATTTTAACTAAAAGCAGTAAGAAAGCAGGAAATGGTTCGGTTTTCTAAAGCAAGGGAAGAGTCACTTGGGAATGAGTCCCCCTAGCTCCTTAGTTAGGTCACAGTTGTAATTACCCTGGGTTGATTAACTATTGATTAAACTGCGAAAGATCCGACAGTAGCTTGGAATCTCTTAAGCTTACCAAGCCCTCTCAGTCCAACTACCCGGCAGACGACTAGTCTTCACCGGGATAGAAAGCTGAGGCTATGAAGGCAGAACACCACTACTGGAATAAAGCAGCAAATCGATTAACTCTCGTATAATCAATCTACCACTACCGATTGATGAAGCTCTAGCAACCTAATCAGATTCTATCTATCTCAGGTTGTAGCAGAAATCAACAAAAGATGATCAGACTTCAATTGACTCAATAAATCATGCATCAATCGATTAAAATCAAACAATATAACAATTCCAAGTCATTACAATCAAGATCCCTAACACATGGAACTAGGGTTCTTCATACCCAAGTGAGAGAAAGTTCTACACCATAGAGAAAGAGAGGAAAACATAAATCAAAGTAGTCATACTCATAAAGATGAGGATAATCTGCTCTAGGATGATGATCTTCACTCCTGGGGATGCAATCTGGGCTTCAATGGTGAGAAATCCACTCCAAAAAGCTCCTAGGGTTTGTTCTTTGCACTTTCTCTCTCTAAAACTCTATTTTTGCTCCAAAAAGTCGACTCTCTCTCCTTTGGCTCCAATCTGCCTAAAAAACCCGATTATGGGCGAAATACGGGCTGAATTACGGTCGTAAACATGGTCTGCCCGTATTTCGCCCAAAACGCGCGTTTCACTTATCTCTGATGAGGGGAATTACGGTCGTAATTACCCAATTACTGCCACTATTTGTGGAATTAATACCGTACTTCATTTTTCTCTTGCCCGTAATTTGATCTTCGAAGGCATTCTTAGGGATTTGGCTTGGCATTGCTCTTCCTCCACTCCTGTTTAATGCTTCGTTTCTCCCTCGTCCGGACTTCGAATCAGTCGCCGTTTGATCCAAGACGCTCGTAGTCTCGTCCTCTTTCTTTTCATGACAAAATTCCATGATTATTTTTCCATAATATGAGGTAGAAATCCATTCTTCCTCAGGTCATGCTCGTGGTTATTCTCCCGAATTGCCAAATGAATTCCGATTGACTTGAAACTTGCGCCTTTGCTTCAATTTACATGCTAGGACCTGAAATAATACAAAAAAAAAAACACAACCTAGCGTAAAATAGGCCAAGCAAACACAAATTTGAGCTAAAATGGTCAGGAAATAAGGGTGCAAACATGTGCAAATACAATGCTATCAAATTCCCCCACACTTAACCGTTTGCTTGTCCCCAAGCAAACCAAGTCAGATACAAGGAAAGCTTAACACATTTTAATCATGCAACACTTGGGGACATATCATATAGGCACGAAACACGGGAATCATACTGGCTTTTAGGCATCAACACATGAACAACTTCAACAGCAACCTGGACGACCACCACAGAGGACATTCGAGTGCAGCAAAATCGGGTAAAGGAAGAGTCTCCCTTCTGTTCACTAACCAACATAGACTTGACTCAACCACTTATTCATGACAGTCAGCTCATGCATAAAACTCAAGACATCAGAATCAAGACCAAGCCATCTAGGTCCTCACCGGGGTAAAGATTGTAAAGAACAAGGAAATGAATCGCTCACTCTCGACCAGTGGGGTAAGGACAATTTGATGCAAAAAATGCGCATACTTATTCTCTCAATCCCTAACGTCTCTTCACCATGACGGCAGCCTCTAAATGTTAGAGTTCACATAAATGGGTGTCATCACTAACTAATCCAGAGGTCTTAGACACAGGTTCAAATGACTGGCTAGGGTCTTGGACATGGGGAAAAGGCCTTTTAGGTGGTGGAAGTATTCATAGCACAAGGTTCCACAGTTCCAAACCCAACACAATCACAGTCAATCAAACCACTTACTTTCTTTCTGCCATTCTGCATTACTCAAGTTCTTTAGAGCACAAGAGCGAAGGAGGTCACAATAATGTTAGTATTTCCAAGTCAGACTGCTAAGAAACACTACTTAATGAGCATGATTCAGATTTTTTGGAGTGGCTCTCTTTAGCTTTCATCCATTTTTTTTCTTCTTTTTTTCATTTCTAGAGAGAACCACCACCTCTGCACATTTTTCAAACACATGGCCAACTTTTTTTTTTTTAAGAACTACCTCCAACCCTCACATTATTTCTAGCAGAAACAGCAGAGAACATGCAAAAACCACTCCGTGGAACCTTCTAAGAGATGCAAAAGGGTGATTTTCCATTACAAACCGAAAGAAAGAAAGTGACACGGCTCAGGGGCTGACTAAGGGGTATGACACGCCAGGACAGTCAATTTGGTCATGAGCTAATCCTATGCCTCCATCATCTTAGCTAATGACAACGTGAATGCTACACATCATGGAAGAGGGAACTATCGCACAAGAAAGAAACGAGCAGGCTCAAATATCACATGGATACCTATATGCTCTATCTCTTATTCTTGATTCCCTGCACTAGATGCATAAACGACTGTAAAAAACAAGTGATAAATCCAAGTCACAGTTGGTAAGCAAACAGTTGAAAAATTGAACCCCTACACAATTCTACTACACGTCTCAGTCATCATTATAGGTTGTCCTAGTCACAATCCAGTTGTCATGCATTAATTTGAAAGCCATTCGATTCACCAATCAAATCCAAAGTGCCAATATGATCATGCAAACATCAGTACTTGGAGCCCTCAAATCTCAAGATTTGGACAGTGGACTATGCTCCAAGCACACATATACACGTTCCAATAAATACAAAGCCCCCCCCCCCCCCCCCCCCCCCACACACACACTTAAGTTCGACATTGTCCTCAATGGAGCAGAGGGAAGGAGGACAATGTTACCGTGAAATGGTGATCTGTCACGGTGACTGGAGGGCGAACCACTCTCTTTGAACCAATTACGGGCACTATTACGACGACATTTGGTCTGATCCTGCCCGTAATTACACTGCCGAGGGGACAAGGAAATACGATCGTAATTGAGTCTCCCTTGCCCGTAATTGCACTGCCGAGAGCCCCCTGTCAAAAATTTAAACCGCATTTTCGGACAACCAAACCCATTCATGCCCCGGCTCGAAAATAAACACCACCATAGACAAAAACAGACCATCCGGGGCATGAAATACATTCCAGATAGACTCAAAAATCGACAAAAGCGAAAAGGGGAAAGGACAGAAATGCAAACCGTGGTGGGGTTGCCTCCCCTAAAACGCTTCTTTACCGTCTTTTAGCTGGACGCCAGTAGGGTGGATGCTCAGAGAGGCGTAGGACATGTGCCTCCAATAGCAGATCCACATTGCTCTTGAGGTACAGCTTCAGATGGTGGCCATGCACACCATGGGTGTGACCACCAGCACTCGCCAACTCGACCTGGCCATCTGGCAGGATGCAAGCGAGTGAATACTCAGATGGCCAAGGCAATCGTGGCTCAGGAGGCGGGACCAGCTCATAGTGGTCTTCGGCTTTCTGGTGAGCAGGCTTAGCTACCTGCAGTTTCGGCCGCCACTCCTCCTTGATCTTTTCTTTTGGTAACGGGGTGGATGGGAGTGGCGGCGAAGATATGAGAGGCGAGTCCTGCAAAACAGAAGGCACAAAAGGATACACGACAGACTCGTGCACCTGGTGAGAGACAACATGCAAAGGCGAGATAGTAGTCATATTATTAGCAATGGGAAATGTTATCTGCTCCTCGCCATCTCTCAAGAGTAAGGTCCCATCATGCACATCTATGAGAGCCTTGGGATGGCCAGGAAAGGTCTTCCTAGTATAAGAGGCACTTATGCGTCTTCATTGATGTCCAAGACAACAAAATCCACAGGATAAAAGAATCTGCCAACCTTAACCAGGAGGTCTTCCACTATGCCCCTAGGATGAACTACAGATCGGTCAGCTAACTGAATACTCATCCTAGTCTCACTAGGTTCACCTAGGCCTAGTTTCTTGAACAATTATATGGGATTATATTAATACTAGCACCTAGATCCGCCAAGGACCTCTCTACATGCAATTTACCAATAGAGCACGGTATAGTAAAACTACCTGGGTCCTTCTACTTCGGCGGAAGCTTGTTCTGCAGAATGGCCGAGCACTCCCCGCTGAGCTCCACAGTGGCCAGCTCACTCAGCCTCCGCTTCTTTGAGAGAAGCTCCTTCAGGAACTTCGTGTACTTAGGCATCAGAGATAGTGCCTCCATGAAGGGAACTTGAACATGCATCTTCCTAAGCATGGACAAGAAGTTGCCGAACTCTGCTTCCAGCCTGTCTTTGTACATCCTGGTGGGAAAAGGGAGCTTAGGCTTATATTCAGCCACTACTGCTTGTGGCTTTAGAGCTTGAGCCTCTGGCTCCTTTTCCATCTCCAGGTTTTCTTCCGGCTCTAGGGTGATTTGGGTCACCTTCTTGGCACTCTTCTGTGGTGCATCTGCAGTCACAGTCCCACTTCTTAACATAATGGCGTGCAACCCCTCTTTATGATTTATGGGATTTGGCAGGGGTTGACCGGGAAGTGTGCCAGCCGGTCTGGAAGCAAGGGCATCTTCTAGGTGCCCGATCTTGGTGTCCATATCATGCAAGAGTGCCTGCTGGTTTCTCTGGCCAGCTTCAATCTCCATGAATTTGCCTGCAACCACTTCCATGAATTGCTCCAATTTATTGAACTTTTGGGTACTAGTGCTCGCCAAGGTAGTCACTAGATCCCTCAGTTCTGACACGGGATCGCCCGGTGTTAGGACTGATGGGGATGCACCAGGCTGCTGGTACTGCTGCTGTGGGTGCTGTTGAAAAGCCTGCCCCTGTCTGGACTGATAAAGTGGCTGTTGTTGCTGCATCTGGCCCGGGCGAGGCTGGTATGGCTGCCTCTAGTTTGGAAAACTAGCTGCATGAGCCTGGAAGCCAGGTGGCTTTGGATTGCTGTTGCCACTCCAGGAGAAATTTGGATGCTGGCCCCATCCCTCATTGTAGGTATTACTGTGAGGATCGTTGCGCCTGGCATTGTTGATGAAGTTCACCTGCTCCTGGGGTGTACTGGACTCACGCATGGCCTGACAGTCTTCGACGGTGTGATGGGAGCTTTCGCACCACTGGCAATGCATTGCCTGCTGTTGCACTATCCCTGAAACCAATCCAGAGCGATCAATAGCTGAGACCAACTTAGATACCTGATAATGATGTAATTGAACATATTTGCGCCCCTAGTTCTTATCCGTTTGAGGGGCATAGTCGTGTATTGTTGGCCTATTTTACGCCAGGTTGTGCTATTTTGTCATATTTCAGGTCCCAGTCATCAAAGGAAAGGCTAAGCACGAGTTTCGGGGCATTCGGAAGTCATTTCGTCGAGTTGGAGCCAAAACACGGGCACACCTAAAGCAGAACATGGCTGTGTTCTGTGGCCGTGCTTTTACTGCCGAGAGCTAATTGATTTTGGCAAATTCAAGCTGCAAACACGGGCTGAAAGCACGGTCGTGTCCACCAAAGCACGACCGTGTCCTCCCAAAAGCACGACCGTGTTTCTCCCAACACAATGGTCGTGTAATTAACCCTAACCAAAGCACGGACGGGCTGAGGCAAAGCACGGCCGTGCCCTCGACCGTGCTTTGGCTAGTGATGCCCTTCTAAGCAGATTTCAGCCAAAACAGAAGGGGATTCGAGTTTTGGAAAGACAGAGCGATTCCTAGAGAGAGAAAGTGACGAACAAGAGTCTCCAAGTGCCCTAGCTTGATCTTCATCACCATTGGAGGCCAGCTTGAGCTTGGAGAAGTGCTGATCAACGTCCAGAAGCAGGAATCCATCCTTCACAGTATGAATTCCGCGTCTGATTCTGCTTTTGCTTCTTTCTCCATGGAGTAGTTCTCCCATTCATCTGGGTATGGAGAACCCTAGATTTGTATGTTAGGCTTTGATTGTATGAACCCAAGTACTGATTCTATGATTTGATTATATTCGATTGAGGTTTGAATGATTGAATGACTTGAATCTTGATCAAATTCCTGTTGTTTCTACTTTGACCTAGAATGAGAATATCTGCCTAGGTTGATAGAGCATCCTTGATTGAAGGTAGGGAGTTGGTGACTTTAGTCGAGGAGCCAACTCACTATTCTGTACCGGATTCACTCCGGTAGTGGAGGTTTTGTTTGTTAAGGCCTCAATCTGTT